TTACTTGCTATGGGTTGTCACTCCCCATGTGACCCAGGCAGCTGTACAGCTAAAATACTGATAACCAGTGTGTGCACTGAAGGTCCAAAGTACTGGATTCACTGTGCACACATAGAGGAACTGTGCTGTTCATGCGCATAGGAGAGCCCTCCCAGCTCTTGGGAGCAGGGGAGGCCATGGCCACTGAGGAGCCATTCATGCCAACTGCTCTGAGCCATAATATACATATTTACCTAACATATATTTACAAATGTCTTCACAGATTTATAATACTGATAAATACCACTTCTCAAAAAGTAGTCTAAATGGTGGGAGAACTCCTTATTACACAGATCTGTCTGAAATTAAGATAGACTCCTCTTTCTCAAGTCTGGGGACTTTGTATATCATCTCACATCTGAGCTGAAAGCTTATTACACACTTTATTCTTCTTCATATTATTTATATTTTTCCCTTTTAAAAATTTGGAAAGCTCTTGTGGGATAACTTGTATGCAAAAGAGCCAAAAGCTTCCAGCTGATGTTTGAGAGTGGGGATGTGTCACAGGACAAGCCCACCCATTGCCCTTCGCTTGACATGCATTCCTCATGCCCTAAGCTGTAACCAGATCAAAGACAGGGTGGTTTTGTTTCATTTTGTTTTCTCTCAGTGCAGCTCTGCCAGTCCTTGAGTGCAGCTAGATATTTTGTGACACAGCAAACTATTCTTTCAGGGTGTATTGTATGTGTAATGTTAAACCTTTCCACCTGCCTTTATGTATGTATTGCAACAGTGACCCCTTTGTCAATACATCTGACGGTCCTGAAATGCTGGAGGTCAAAATTGATAAGATAAGAAAAATAGCAACACAGGGCTAAAATGTGTTTCCTTTTAGGATTCATTGAACAGTTTTTATTTGTTATTCCCTCCAACATGTAGAATTTCTAATGTATTTGTAAGAAACCTAAAACTTTTTAGAAGCACCTAGAGTCAAGACTTGCAAACTTGTCATCTGCAGAAATCTGAGAATCTATTCTCTGTGCAGCAAGTTCCTGATCAAAGGGTACCATTCAGTCTAGACCTGTCGCAATTAAACTGAATCTCAAAATAGCTATCTACTGCTGAAAAGGGTTTTCAAAGATTAGCAGTGATATAGGCTGCACCTTCATCTGCAAGCCTGATTATACATAAAAAGCTCTCAACCAGGTTGAATGAAGAGTTGATGCTTGTAGTTAAGAAACAATTCTTACGTTTGACCTCTTAATTATCTTTGCTTACAAGCATTTGATTATTTTAATTTACAGTGTTAGCTGATAGAGGTCCTTGAATGTTTCTAGTATCTGTTCATCCCAAGAGAATAACTAGAGAACAGACATTAGTTGGTAACAAGTTCCTGACTCAGCTGTGTTGTGAAGAAAGCGGACTTCAGGACCCTGAAGCAGGGGTTGTCTACATTGAGCCACAGTAGCCTCCATTTCCTAGATACTCTCAGGGCTGCTGCTCTGCTTAGCGCCTCCCACGATGAACCTCTTTACTGCTTAAGACAATACTCCAAGTAAACAGAAGTATTTGAGAGCTAGTCACATAAGCAGATCCAGGCAAAACATTAAGTGTATAAATGCTCTTCTGTGTTTCACTTTCTTTATCGCTCTGGAATCACCTTTGGGCTTGGTTTGAGACCCTTAAGATTTGGAGAATCCTTTTGCTATAGGCTTTGCTATCTGCCTCTTTACTGTCTCTCTAAAATCACAAGTCAGACAGCTCTTTGTAAAACTTGTCAGTTGTAGTCTATCATATCTGCTGGCACCTTGACAAATCTTGGCCTCTAGCCAACAGGACAGACTGGTTCTTGCAGCTTGTTCAACTTCATGGGTCAAAGGGGATTTCACTTGAACTGGAGATCATCCATGCTTTGACTTCCTACACTTACCAACATACAGTGCACTGGTTATCTGCTTATTCTCACAGGCTTGGTACAAGTTAAGTTATCTGGAGGCATCAAATTTAAGTATTGTAGCAACTTCTACAAGAGCTATGTAACTTTAACAATTGAAAAAAAATCACACAAATACATACTAGATACTCTCTAATTTATCACAATTTGTAACTAGAAAATGAAAAGGGTCCCGAAAAAGAATGAGGAATAAGAGGCAGAGATTTTTAGGAAATGCAATTATGCAAAAATAGGAATGTTTTGATTTCAGCCCATCTGCATGGGAAAAATAACTGATAACACCAGTAGCGGTACATGAGATTATCTCTAATATAAATGCTTTTTTTTTCAATGGAAATACATATTAAAATGCTCTTTTAAACTATAGTCTTATTCAATGCACATGGAACACCAATGACAGTCCAATCAATTCACCTAAATATGATCAAATAAAAAAAACTGTTCTGGATACTTGTAGTTATAAATTTTGGGGTGGGTTTTATTTGTGTGTGTGTATGTGTGTAGATTTTTTTTTTTTTTGAGATACCAAAGTGACAATACAAAGTAAAATTAGTCAAGTGAAAAATTAAACACCTTTTTTCAAAATAAAGCCGTAATTTTGCTATTGTAACGATATATTGATGTCAGAGATGAGCAATAAGTAGTATTCAGATCTAAATCTACAGGTACACTTGGGGGGAGGGTGTTCTATCTCTAACAAAGAATAAATATGGGGAGGAAAATAACTAATGCTTACATGCATTTCTAAAGGCAGGTAAGCCTTTTTGAAAAGAATACAGACACTTGCAGACAACCATTCTCCCTCATCTAGAAAGAAACCGTCTAAATCTCCTCTCATTCTTTTCATTCCTCATTACTTTTCATTTATAGACACTGCCAGGTGCCAGCTGGGGCACAAGACAGAAACAGTAAATTGCAGAAGATGGCTATTTGTGATGTTTCAAGCATAACCAGAAGCTGAATCTAACGGGGGGGGCGGGGGGGGAAAGCACCACAGAAAAGCAGAAGTTCTTCTGAGATCTTCACCCCAGATTTGCAGATTTAATGTATCTGGTTAGTTTAGGTAACAAGCCAAGCTATTCTTATTGATGCAGTGCATTGTTGCAGGAAATCTCAAAACACTTTGCTGTGCATCCGTTTCTCACACCTATAAGTAATTTATTATTTTGTATTGGCAGGTAACACTATATCCTCTTGCTGTAAATTAATAGTATGAGTTTTGAGCAAAAGTTAGATGTGCTTGTGAATTATTTGTTAGTCGTTATCTCTTTTTTTTTTTTTTTCTGCCAAGTTGAGAAGCTAAAAAGAACAGGTTGAATTGTTTCTTAAGTAAAATTGGGTAAAGATTTAGGCTCTAGGAATACTCTTTAAGTATCAGACCCATCAGACCCATGACATAGCCTCTCAGAGCAGGATATTCCATGCTGTTTCATTACAGGACTGCTGATAATGTGGAATATACTTCAATTCCAGCCAACATACTGAAAGAAACAGGTTTTTCTTTTCTGTTAATAAATATTAAGACTAAAATTAAGCTTTGGTTTTTATTTCAGGATTCCAAAAAACTTAGAAGTATTCTGTTATTTTACTGTTCTTTTTAAACAAGCCTCAAAGTGGGATTGATTGTCAGTAACTACCACAATTGCTCTAAAATCAGTAGCAGAGGTAGGAAGGTCCCTTTCCGCAAAAACCTAATACTTAGCTGCCACTTGATGCCTTGAGTGGCTACATGTCTGCTCAGCCTGAACCATGGACTCAGGCAAACAATCACATAATGTTAGTACAGTAATTTTCTGATTTTTGTTTATCTAATTCCAATTTGCTCTGAAAAAGTTATTTTAATTTTTAAGAGACAGCTATAATTACTGGAAGATGGAAGATAGTTTCTTTTTAGTGAAGCTCTATGCATTACTCAACCTTTTGAATAATGTTTCAAGTTTAAAGAAAGCTTTAAATAAGGGAAAGGATACTTCGATATTTGTACTTCTCTTTGTAAGCAAAGCTTCCAAGAGTCTTCTGGTAGCCTGATCATGCATCAGAGATGAGGTAGGCAAGACTAAAATGTGAAATGACATAGACAATTTATAATAAAGAAAGCAAGGCACAATTTTTTTAAGCCTTTTCTGAAAAAAATCTTTGCTTTCCTTTATTAGTTGTGATAAAATACTCAGTTCAGGTCTAATAAGAGATTTAGTTTAGGTGAACAGGAAGTACATACACTGTGTGAAGAAACAAAATATATATATGCATTCTATAGAATTTTCTAGTGAAACCTGTTGGAAGTCTTATCATACTATAAAATCAGTCTTTTACAGAAAGCTGTATCTGTGTTCCTGACACTGACTTATTTTAGTGGTGTGGTTTCTCAAATGAGAAGGGAAGTAGGATTCTAAATTATACTTGCTGAGTGAAAAAATGAGTTATTTAACTTAAATTGCCTTAAGTGAAATTATAATGAGGTCAGTATGGCTGATGAATAAAAACAATCTGTGATTCCAGGTATCAGTCCACGTAACTGGAGTCCCAAGATAACAAGTTTTTACAGCTCAGAGTCACAGATACTCTGATAGTTTCTCAGATGGCCTGATCCCGTAAATGTATCATTCTCCCTTTTCTATTATAACTCAAACAGTATGGAATTGAGGTAAACTATCCACCAGTAAAATGACTTCTATAAGGTTAGAAATCAGAGGGCATTCCCATTACAGATGCAGAGTGTTGTAAAGTCAGTTCTGAACAAAATGTTAGCATTGAAATATTCTGAACTATTAATTTAGACAATGATATTCTTTCCTGATGCACTTACTCTTAAATTGATTGTCTAAACTGCACTTAATTGTATTAAGGAGAAGGATAACAAAAATCAGGCCAAAGAGCCCTGTTAAATAGGGAGGAAAACTTCATACACAAATGATTTAGCAACTAAACTACTTCTTGAACATATATTAACCATTTTTGATGTGTGAAATATTACTGGAAATGCATTTCCTGTATTTTTCTTAATTTATATAAATGGGTATTCAACCACATGGTAGTTTTAATGCCAGCTTTTTTTAATATCTTACAGGAAGCTTCAAAAGATGGTGCATGACATCAAGAAAAATGAAAGTGGAATAATAAACAAGTTCAAAAAGTAAGTTTGAAATGCCAATCCTGCTTTTATCAATATGAGGAAGTTCAGATTGCTAGCACAGTGTATAGTACTTTAGTGATGGGATCCTGTTGTTCTAGAGGAGTGTACTTCAGCATATGTAAAGAGCTTTAGTCCAGATTGCAACATGCAGAATTGTCATCAGTATCGTAAGTATCACAGAGTAGTTGCAGAACTGCCCTCCAACAGGAGGTTGTGTTGGTAGCTCTGAAAAACAGTATTTGGGTAAAATGCATTTTTCTTACATATTCTTTGGGAATGATCATTGCTTGTTTTTTGGATGTATGCCTTTCTCCTCAGGCCATTGTTTAGGCTACCTGCTGCAATTAAGTTTTAATTTAAGCTCCACCTTGAACCAACTGGTCAGACATCATAGTTAGAATTCCCATAAAAATGCTAAGTCCTCCTGTGTTTCAGTCCCATAAAACTAAACCCACCATTACTTATCATCCTTATTCCAGTAAGAAGCACTGAACAGCATGCATATTGATGTCACATGCGTATTATCATAAAATATTTATGTGTATTTATACATAGAAAGAAATTCCAGTAATTCTGCATCCTTGTCAAATGAATACACTATTCACTGTTTCCAGTCAAACATCTATTTAAACCAATTAGCTATTTAGCACACTTTCTCTCTTTCTTAATGCAATAGCTCATTTGCATTGAACTTCTATTTGGATGCAATTTTCTCATTCAGATGTCTGTCTTTACATGGGTTATTGACAACAAAAGTACTAAGAACTTTTAAAAGTTAATTAGTACACAGTATCTGCAGTGTTTCCAGGACGACCCTATTAAATTCTAGAACTGCAGCTCTCCTGCACAAAAGGCACGTGCAAACACTGTTTACAGTTGTTCTTAGAGTGGCCATGGTGGCTCAGTTCAAGGAAAAGAAAAAGTAAGGTTTTAACATGAGCTAATTCTAGGTACAAAGCAATCAGTAGGCTGGTGGGAGAAGCAGTAGGGCTTTGCCCGGTTTGGCTATGCAAGAGCTCTGGAAAGCCCGGCTGGCTCAGCTACTGCCCTGAAGCCCCGGGGGTCACAGGGAGGGGGACAGCCGCTGTCCCTGGCAGAGGAGAGGGATGAAACACTTCTAGGAGCAGCAACAACTACCCACCTGTCCCATTCCCCAGGTAGGAGCAGTAACCTTAGCCTGCAAGCCTTCCTTTGTTGCCTATCACAGCTGCGTTTCTGTCCACAAACCTTGAGCAGGCTCTGATGGTAACACCTGATACACCAGATAGACTCTTGAGATGGCTTTTTTCCTTTACTCATCCTCTTTCACTCTAGCCCTGCTGCAGTTCGCAGTAAATCACAGTCATGGGGTATATATACTTGTTATTTCCATGCAAGCACAAAGGCAGATTTTCCATTAAAAGGACCCTCTTTCAACTACTTCGATTTTCAATTTAATTTGAGCATGTTTTTATTTTTAACACAGTGTGTATGTAAATACACCACTGTGTTCAGAGGTCAGTCTGCAAAAAGCTCAGTTTCACCTATGACCTGCTCAGAGAAGAGCTTATAGGGTGTTAGGTCTTTTGGTGGGTTCTTGGAGGGGAGGGAGGTGAGTGGGACTGTTTGGTTTTTTTTTTGCTGTTGTTGCTTTTTAATAGAGGGTGGCTTCCTACTTTACAGTAGTAGTTTAAGTGTAGTTAATGTTAATAATGTTGCAGTGGGTCCAATTCAAATGCCGCAGACAGGAAAGCAGACAGTAGAAACAATAGAAGCATCTCAAGTTTGTAATTCGAGTCAACAAATTGTCTCCCACAGTTGCCTGGATGTGAATTCTGCTGTTAACCAGTATTGCTCTGTGTGTCCTTCCCTGAGAATAAGAGGGGAAAGACAGACAAGGGAAAAATAATAACTAAATGTAGCCGAAGCTGGGAAGGTTAGAGGTGGCATCATTAAATGCCAGATACAAGATTGCTGCTGTAACACTGCAATTCTTTGATTCTCTCAAGATTAAAAAAAAAAAAAAAAAAAATCACAAAAAAGAGCAGGCTCATAAAAACTCTTATGACTGCAGCACAAAGCTCACATTTCACCTCCCCCAACTATAAGAATACAGACTGAGATGTAAAAAAAAAAATACATACAATAGTCTTTCTGATATTTCTGTGGTTCATCTGAGTCATATTAATCTCTTCTACAATTATGAAGATCAGAAGTTTACTCTTTAAAAAAAAATGAAGAGGAAATTCTCACATTTGCACATGACTTCAGAAATCAAATCTTGAACCCAGTATATAATGAGACTTGCAACAAAATCATGAGGTGACATCACTGATAAAGACATGTACAAGAGATGCCAAGCTTTGCAGAATTAGAAGTGTCTATATTTCTCTGAATGTGCCCTTTGGGGGCTTTTTGTTTGATTTTTAGATGCTTTTTCTAAAGAATGCAGTTATCCAGTTGATCACTTCTTCCATTTCAGTTACAGGATTATTTTATTAAATGTCAAGGATCTAAGCATGATTGAAGCAGGAAAAATTGGATAAAGAATTGGCTTTATGTAGCACATATCTAGAATTTGTCTATATGCTAGAAAAAAACATCATTTTGACTCAAATTCAAATCTGTTATGAGTAGAAATAATTTTAGAGAAGTCAAATATTGTTCTTCTTATCCCGAGCCTGAAGTTGTCACACACATGTATACTGTAAGCCTCTGCTACTGATATTGAAAGAATGATCAAATATTCATGAAATAAATTTGCCTTATTACCAGTATTTGTTAGGACACTTCTAAAATCTGGGTTGGCTCTTGATTATTCAGAGAAATTAAGTTCTTGCACCAAGTGTCTTGCTTAGCAATCTAGTTCATCTGTGGGGTACAGGTGGGAAGGGATACATCTACCATCCATCTGTGTCTTAAAGGTCTTCAGTAAGCAGTCTGAACAGTGGTGGTAACAGGAAAGAAAACTACAGATTGTTTCTTTCACATCCTGACTTAAAATTTTCTGATAGCAAAAATATTGCCCACTCCAGGATAGCATTCACCTGCTTGCCCTTAATCACATGAAAAACTGTTTACAATACTGGAGTCCCAGCTGTTGGGCAGATCATGATGTCAGAGGATTATGTACTCTGGTGTAGAAACAATAGGTATAGTCAAAGTTGTATAAACAGTAAGAGCTGATGGTGTTTTTTTCATATTCACATCCTTGGTAACACAGGACAGGGATTGTAAGAGAGAAATCATAGGTTTCATTCTGCAGGGTGGTTGCCTATGCTTGAAATGCACTGTAAAGATGCAGTACTCATCTGTAAATCATAAGCTTTAAGCCTCTAGGCTTTGTTCAGTGGAATCCTAGCTCCATTGAAATCAGTGCTAAAAGTCATACTGCATATACAATCTTTTGGTACATGCTGACCTACTGTGTTGAATAAGAAATTAGAAGTTCAGGTTACTCACCATGTTGCAATATCGCATCCTATCAAAACTTCCTTTGCAAACCCATCAGAAATCATGCACTTGTAGTTATTCATCTAACTGCCCACAATCCGAATACATCCATTTCTTGAAATCACGTCTGCCATGTGACCTGTAAAGTGGAAAGAAGATGCATCTTCATCTCATCTGCTTTACTCAGCTTTTTAGTTTGGGTAAGTTTTTACTTCAGATTTGTCTGGTCCATTTTTCTATATTTATATAGTTCATTTATAACTTAGGCAGTAACTTCAGGCAGAAAAATGGAGTTATGTCACTAAATGTCTCTTCAACCTGCATAGCTGCAACTAGAAGATATATCCGTGACCAAACCCTCAGTAGAGGGAAAAGTGGTATTTTATGGACCGAATGAGAGAGAAATACTAAAATCAAGCTGTACTACACTTAAAAAGATAAACCAGGGAGAAGTATAATATCTAATGTTAACTGTATTCTGAAGAAACATGAATTTCAATGTGTAGCCAAAATAGAATGTTTCGAGTGCCAGGATTTTTATTAATAGGACAATATTTCATCACAATGAAGACAAATAAACCACAGCTATGTGCCATTTCACTGTCACAACACATTGTAAAGAAAATGTGTGAAAGAGCAGTACTAACACTTTTTAAGTTTCAGACCAATTTTATTTTGTACAGTTGTCAGATACTTCCAAAGCTAAAACAAACTATTGCACTAGGTCATGAGAATACAGCTCAGGAAAAGTTTATCTGTCGGCTGGCTCGCACCTGTTTGGAACTCTGAAAAAGTTTTTAGCAAAGTTCAATTAATTTATCTTTTAATCATAAATGTGATGATCTAGTACAGTTAGGACTAATGCATACTAAATACTCAGTAAAGATGTCAATGTAACTTTTGTAAAACCTATTAAGTTAAAATGGTTTCTAAGAAGGCAGTGGACTATGTACAGAGTTAACAACAGAAAAAGTGAAAGAGTCTTGAAAACAGAGTTTTTAGACACATCTTAAATGCTGGGGGCGTGAGCAGAAAAACTAATACAGCTGTGGGAGAATTACGTACTATACCTAAAGGGCTACTACTGTGTACATTTGGTTATTTTTCTGAGTGTAACCGGTAAAAACAACTGTTGCTAGAGCAGACAACCCAAATGTCTGCTGCAGTTTATTTACAAATTCTCCATTTAGTACAGGAAAACACAAAAAAATGTGCTATGAACTTGAAGCATGTGATTAATATTTGCAATTCCTACAGGACTCCTTATGTGAGAAAAGCTAAGTACATGCTTAAATGTTTTGTTGGATTAACCTCAGCATGCTATAGAGGGGAAATATCAGAATACACTTTTTTTTAAATTAAATAAGTTATTCTCCTAAAAGTTATTAGGAATTTCTGTACAGCACGTTCTGTTCTTGTGTGAGCAGCATCTAGATCCCGTTATGTGAAATGTCTCAAATGCTACCTGTTTATTTGTTGAAGCTAAAATGTGTATAGTAAGATGTGTTATGTTGCTTTTAAAACCTGTAAACATACTCTTAAAAATGTACTTGGATTTTATTGAGTCCTTTAGAACTGAAATTTCTCAGTGATATTTCAAAATCTCCAGCAAGTAACTTATTTTCGATTAAGTTTTAGAAAAATACTAGTCCCATTAAAGTAAATGGAAACTTTAATTATGTTCTATCGCAGCTAATTAAATGCTACTTTACCACTTGTAACTTAAGTCCGGAGCAGAGTGGCATTAGAATATTTTACTTGGATATTGCATTTGCTATAACTCTGTTAAAAGATATGTTAGGAAATAATTCTGTCTTCCACTTAAATACGTATGCTCAGTTAGATGGCATTTGCTTCTTTTAGTCCTTTCTCAATAACTTCAGGCGAACAGGGTGGTCAGTTGTCACTCTGCAAGCATCTATGTGGATTATTACATCAGAATCAGAAATAGCTAGGTAGCTGCTCCTTAGCATAGGGCTTATGTCTTTGAGCTTGCATCGTGGTTTGCACATTGGGTCAGCTTCTGGCTCTTGCAAAGCAAAGCTCCAGTTGACTTCAAAAGAGCCTGGATTTCAGTTCTGACACTCAATAAATCATACCAGTACCGTGAGAATTCTTTTTTTTATGTGGATTTGAATTTTAGAATAAATAAGATCTTTGCAAATATAGATGTGGCCATTAACTGTTTCAGCTCTGTGACAGAAACATTATTTCTTTTCTTCCATTGATATTCAGGTTCCAAAATGAACAAGTGGCCTTAATTTGCAAAACTGGGAAAGATACTTGGGATCGGTATGCTATTTCAGAGATGCACAATGGCATGATAGGCTGCTTAGACACAGACCTCTGTTCTGTGCTTCGTATGCTTTCATTGTAACATATTTACATTTTCTGTCGGGGCCACTGCCAGGATTTACAGGGCCTGGGACAAAGTGTTGAAGTCTTCTGCTTAGCAGCTTGGAAATACATAACGTGGCTTAAGCCACGTACTTTACACTGTGACACAGCCAGCCTTACTTTGTCTCAATTCCGCTGTTTTCCAAGTCTCCACTGTCACTGAACAACTCAGTATTGACATGTTGCAAAGTACATTACATTAATAGATTTTGGTCAACCCTCCCTAAGACCTGAGATCTGCCCTGGCAGTGGCCCTGGGTTTTTCTTCTAACATGCCTGTGCTAACCTGGACAGAAGACAACAGCAGGGCTGTTGAGAATGCTTTTTAATTTACTGTTAGTACACAAAGTTATATTAAGCTGCAGGAAGCTAAAGACTTGGAGAAAGCAGCTATCTATCATTAGTGTTATTAGTAATGAACAAAGCAGGTAAACCTTTTAAAAATAATATGCCTAGATTGTCTTTGGTTTGGTTTTTTGGGAGTTGTTTTTCTTGAGCCTTAGCAATGCCTTCCCTATTTATTCATTGATTTATGCATGTGCATTTTTTTTTTTTGGTGACTATCTGAACAACAGAATTCCATGAGTTGATCTCAAAAGTAGCCAAAACATTTCTCAAAACAAATGGGGAAAGTTTGTAAATTGTTGTGTTAGTGCCAGCATGCCACCACTCTGAGTTACATTGGTACCTGAACTATGACACCTAAGCAGTGTGTTCAGGACCTAAATACCAAGCGTCAAATTCTTGTGGTAAAGCAAAATTTGTGGACATCACTATTGCTCAGTGATCACAAGAGAACATTTGAAATTCTTTCTTTTTGCGAATGAATTTGTTAGGACCTGATTGAAGAATGAGTAAAGCCATCAAGTCAGTGGACAAACGTTCAGGTCCATGGTGAGGTCTCATCAGTGCTACAGGGAAGCTGTCAGTGTTCAGAAGACACTTTGAAGAGTCATTTTGATGTAAATTGTGTTAATATTTTGTATGGCTACAAAAAGCAAAGGTTTTTTTCTCTTCAGATGCATCAGTGTGGCCTGTCACACATGCACCATTAATTTTGACTTTAAATCCAAATTATTCTCTTTTACAGGGTAATGAAATAATTGATACATCAACTGACAGTAATTCAATGTCTTCGCTGGATAGCTGTAATTTAGCAAGCAGAAGTATACATATACACACATATGTATGAACAGGAGTACAGACATATATATGTGTATACACGTATATTAAACATATGTATACTCCTGTTTCATAAATGTATAGGCACATACATATACATATGTGTATGTATAGCCACGAGGATCCTTTCAGTGCTTCTACAAATTATCTTTTGATTAACTTGATATTACAAATGGCTTTATAACAGTATTTACCAAAAAAGGGGCATAGCACCATAAGATAATAGTAAGTGGAAACAGAAGCTGGCCCTGAGAGATCTGGTATACATTTAAACTTTTATCAGAAAGTAAAGTGCATGCAAAATGATAGGTATAAAAATGAGACGGGAAAGTGCTGCACCACTTTCTTATACTATAGTCTTAGCAAAGTCTCTGTGAACCTGAACATATTTTCATCTTCAGATAGATGTGCATTTATCTCTGACCCCTATGTTATCTGTTTCTACATGGGAAATGAAGAGCAAGGTTGGTGGGCAAGGAAGCTCTTCTTTTAAAACATGTTCTTAAGAAAAAAAAAAAAAAATCTCAGATTAGATTCTAATTTTTTATCTGTTTCTAGCATTTCAAAGCATTTTCCTGCAGCTATTTGCTAAGCATCTGTGATGATAATCTGTATTTCTTCAGCTTCAGGTATCTTTTGTTATCAGCTTTTTTATGTGTCTGGCTAATACTCCTTTCTAGTGAATGTTACTTATTAGATCAAAAATGTAATAATTATTGTTTACAGGTTAAAAAAAAAACCTCCACCAAGTGTACCACAAAGGGATTATGCTTCAGGTAAGGCTGTATTAATGTAAACGTTAACTGCATGTCTGTGTATATTTGATACCTATATGCCTAACAGTATTTCAGCTATACATTTCCTCATAATTTATTTTTAATGAGAGAACAGCATACCATTATCAACAACTCTGAAGGCAGTTCACACCTCTGAAATGAGTCAGGCAAAATGTGACATGTTGTCCTAGTATGAGGAATCAAAATCAGTATTTACCAGGGTTCTGCCTGGAGGCTGATCTAAAAACGGAGAATTCGCATTCAGTCCCTCTGCCAGAAATTGTGTTGTGAAATTAAACAGGGAAAATATTGAACAAATGCATCATCACAGATTCAGAATCTTAATGCTAGTAACATGACAATGATGAGATCATGAATTATCTTAGAGGTAGAACTATATTTACTTATACAGCATTGCCCACAAACTAGTTCATGCCTATTTTTACAAGTTACCAGCTATCTTTTTAAGGAAACAATGATAAGAAAACTGAAGCAAAGAGGACAGAGTTTGGAAGTTATCTGATAATTGTTCCATGTTTAATGTAAACACTTGTAATTAGCGTGCTGTCTTGGAGCTTTAAGTGAGAAACAAGGAAGTGCGAGGCCCACAGGTCAGTATTTTGTAGGAATTGTTACTCCTACTTAAAAATTAGATGCATTAGCAGGACACTCTGGGTAAAGTGCACACTCTGCTGTTCAGACCATGTGCAGTTTGTCATTTTCTAATGCTTTTCCAATAGCTCTGAAACAATTTATCAAAAACAAACAAGCAGGCATTCAATTTACTATTCAGTCCAAATCAGATGTGTTGCTCTGAACTGTTTAGGAAATTTTGACCGTTCTTTTTTTACCTGAATATAAGTATAGATTGAAAAAAAATAATTTAAGATAAATGTTTATGTTCACTGTTCCATCTCCTTAAATAACTCTACTGTTTGGTTTAGAACATGCAGACAATGAAGAGGAACAATGGTCAGATGATTTTGTAAGTACATATTTTGGGGTAGTAGGAGGCTACTGTAGTAGTAACTTAGTACAAGCAATAATAATAAAAGTTTCTACTCTTATTTGTTAAATCAGCATTATTTACAAGTAGCCACTGATTTTTAGCTACCTCATTTTTTTTTATTCAACTTAAAAATACACTCAGAAGTGCTGTCAGTGGTAGCCATGGATGCTAAGCATTTTGGGTAAGTAAGAGTATGGCATCGATTTGAAGGACTTCTTAAATTGAACAAAAATTTCAGAAACCAGTAAGGTCTTCTATTTGGGGAGGGAGGATTGGAGGGGTAAGGAGGGAAAGCCACTTCTTCCTGAAAATTAAAAACTTCTGATAAGACTTCAGAGAACATCAGAATGAAGAAAGTGATGGCCAACAGACATGAAAAGTAATGGTACAGCCATCAGCCTGAAGTGACTAGTTTCCTTCTGGAGTTAGATACAGACTATCTTTTTAATAAGAAAGGGAGAGGAAGTAACAGGACACATCAAGAGACACAGCTGGAACTAGGAAGGAACTATCCTGCAAAGGGAAACAAGCTGTTGGTCTATAACTTGAAGACTGAGCTCTTGGTGTGAAAGGATTCCTTGGAGTTAGGAGACAGGAAGCAGGAAGCTCCTGGCAGGAGCAGAAGGGGAGGCAGGCAGGAGTGAATATTTGTTCAGAGAGGGAGCACTAAAAGGGAGCGTAATGTGACCTTTCAAGGATACATACTTGTAATTTAGTTAATTATACTCCTACAAGGATATTTGTCATACACTGCTGTGAAGCCGTGTGTTGTGAAATAAGAAATGGAAAGTTCTGTCTTTCTAGGACAGTGATTATGAAAATCCAGATGACCACTCTGACTCAGAGATGTATGTGGTCCCCAGTGAAGAGAATCCTGATGACAGCTATGAGCCACCTCCAAGTGAGCAGGAGAAAAAGAAGATACCCTCTGCATTCCCTATTTCTAGGGGTGAATATGCAGGTAGTTATGGAATAGTTGACTATGTCTCTGCTTATGATAATTGCTTATTTATCAGTGTCAGAAGAGAAGTGGTCTCAAATGGACTAACCTGTCCTTTCCTCAGAAGTTTGCTTTTAATTCTGACAATCAGGTCTTCAGCTTTCAGGGGTATGATTTGTTATTACAGCATGAAATATATTAGTATTGCTGGTAGCAATGTTTAGAATTGTAATATAATGTGTCCTAGAGTTTTCGATAGACATCTACTACCTAAAAAAATTCAAGTGAAGGTATGGGAGATATGACTAACTTGGCTGCAGATTCATCTGTATATTTTAATGATGAAGATTAAGCACATATGAGTAGATATATCAACCTTTTCTGTATATCAAATCATTATTCCAAAAGTAGTAAAACAGAGGACAAAGCAGCCCAAATATTCACTCCGTATAGTCCTTCAAGATTGGTACTGAGGAGGATAAATGTTCTGAAAATAGGGCAGCACCAAGATTTATCTATATCAGTCCAGCATAAAGACATTTTTTCTTCCTGTTTTGATTCTTTTCAACCATGGGCAGATAGCACTGAAGTAAATTAAAGTTAGCTTCAATTAGATGAAGACTTGAGCTATGGGGAAAAGAAACATTGGCATGATGCCTGCTTTCATTTTTGTATGATGCAAAACTGCTACTGGTTATAGAATAACCATCAAAGTGCTAAAATGCCACATATTTACTCACAGAAGTTTATCAGCACTTCACCTATGTGTTCTTTGAAAAGGAGAGGAATTTTTAAACTGACATCCCAGAGGACCTCGCATAATTTGTGTTTCAGTTGCACCCTTTGTGCTGTGTAACAGTTGTTTTCTCATATGTCAGTTAGGTTCTTTCGCACTTCCTGTCACCAAAGTTCATGCTGGCACAGGACATACTAACTAATGGACTACACCTCCCAGCCACCACCTTTTCCCCAAGGAGTTAAACAGCTGTTCATACAACAGTCAGTGTCTAAGCATCCTCTGCAGCCTCATACAGAGGACTAGGTTGCTACCTTGAGTGATGAAATAGGACATACATTTTTCACACAAATCTCAGCATCAGGACCAGCATACACTCAGGTCTGCATTTTGACCTGAGCTGCAGCCACAGTAAAGGCTTGTTTGCAGAGGTAGAAGACAGTCCAGAGGCTAATGTTCAATTTTTACTAAAATTGTTGTTTTCTTCCATGTTACAAGACAATCGCACCAGTCACCAGCAGCTTCCTCCCATCAACAAACCTCTCCCAAGTACACCCAGTCCAGCCATGTCCAGACCAAAAAAACTATCCATGCCATCTCTACCATTGCCATCTCCTGCTGCAAAACCAAAAATACCACTGAAGCCTAAGGAGTGTAGTGATGATGAGGTAATGTTTATAGATATACCTGTTTTAACATTTTAAGTGACTGATGAACTCACACCAGTCATAAGATAGACTGTACAGCAATGTCATGGCCTGGTCTCTTTCTTAGCCTCTATGATACAAATCACTGTGTACATCACAAGCAGTGACTTGCGAGTACCATGCTGATTCCTAGAGGATATCTGCCTACTTCAAGTATCAAGGAGGCTCTTTAGACCACAGAATAGTTTCTGTTCATCTGTAACAAGCTGCAGGCAATGGGGAGAGAGCAACCTCAAAGGCTACCCCAGGACCAAAGGGAAGGGAGGGCTGTTGTCCACCAGTCTAGAATGGGAGTAATTTGGTAAAAGGTTTTCAGTCTTGGGGAATCCCATCTGCTTAGGATGATAAATGTTGGAAACAGCAGTCACTGTGAAATGGTAACTATTCTAAACTGCTGCCAGGGCTTCAATCCAAACAGTTTGTTGATATGATGGAGGGTTAACTGGTAGATTTTTTTTTTTCCTGCATCTTTCATAGGATAATTACATTGTGCCAGTGGACAATGACGATGATAACTATATTGAACCCACAGAAAGCAGCGTGTCCCTACCTACAAAATGTGAGTTTTAGTCATTTAAACTAATAATTATTGCCTTGTTAGGAACAACAGTGGAAGAAAATCTCCAGGGTTCAAAGAGTGAAGGTGCAGCTATTAAAGAGAACACAGCCTGCAAAAGGCAGTTGGCTCCTTTGGCCCATGACAAGGCCAAGGAAGAGTATTTTTAACTTTATTGGAAGCCATTTTTAATTCCTGCCTCTCTCACTCAGCTGTTTCAAAGCCCAGCCCTTGTACAACCAGGAAACTTCTAATGATATGTGATCTCCCTCCTCATCCAAAGGAGCCACAGCATTAAAATTTTCTGTTCACTGGAGTACCTCAGGAGAACAAGCATTTTTATATTTTCCATAGATAGACAGACTTTGATTCTTTTTTTTTTTTTTACCTCACTGTCTGAAATATATTTAGCTGGAGACTTCTGGAATTTGAAGCATATTTAGCTGGACACTACTACAGTCCAAAGGTGAAAAGTAAACAGAGACAAGTATGTAGTTCTGCCCTGTGATATTACTGACAGTATCAAACCTATTCAAGGCATGCACACTGAATAATGTTTCCCTTTTAAAACGTGAGCTGCTTTATGACTCAGTTGATTTGTTCAAGGTCACACAAAAAGGCTGTGACTTGGACCTACTTAATATTTATCCTTATTGTATAACTGTTACATTGTTAGATTTTTAATACATATGTGTATATATATGTGTGTATATACACACACACATGCACAAGTATATATGTATATGAATAAAATACGTTTTTAGCTCCTGTGAACAGATTTATGAAGACAACAAAGTCAGCACCCCCTACTTCTCCAAAGCCTTCTCTTACTTCTGATATGCAAGGTATGTGGAGTTTCTATCACTGTTAAAATAAAATAATCTAAGACTGAGGAATATTAAATTATGCTTGATAAATTCACAACACAAACCATACGACATACTTCAGCAAAACAAAAGTATGTTTCCCTTTAGCTTTTTTTGTGTTATAGCAGTTGTTTTGCCTAGCTTCAATAGTAAATCTTTTAAGCATGAATAAAACTAGAACAAGTAGTTTGCCTCAAACTAATTTATTTTTAGTCTTTTGGTCTAGTGGAGGAATGCAAAAACAATTATAGAACTCAGTATGTTAGTAATCCCATTTCACTATAGGAATCAAGACTCAATACTTTAAAACCACATCAAGATTCAACCTTAAAGAAATTTCATATAGGCTGATGTTTTGCATGTCCTGTGATAACAGTGTTCCCATTTAAGTTCTATAAAGAGCAATTTATTTGGAAAAAGAAGCAAAAGCAGAAGCAAAGAAAAGGAATCATATTTGCTTTTGTAAGTGCAGGTATACTTGCTTAATCTCCCTTAGCTCTGCTATCTCAGAGTTGTTTTGCATCCTCCTCATCTCATTAATTGCTTGGAATGTAACCTTTACAGACTGATCACACAGTTCTTTTAAAGTCTTTGCATACTCATTAGCAATATGTTTAGCTTTCAAGTCCTACACTACAAAAGTTTTCTTCTGAATGACTTAAGATTGAGTTACTTTTCAGACCTTTTTAAATGCCCTTTTCAATCCTAGCCTTTCTGCAAATCAGTGTTGAGCAATCACCAGTTCCTGACATGTTACTAAGAAAAAAACAAAACATCTCCCCCTGGTGGGAACTCGCACACTTTTCAGCATAATAAAAGCAATGAAGCCTGACATGAAATTTGTTTAAATATGATTCAGTTGTCACTCAGTGACATAGATAAGGATGCCTTGTAGGACAGGGCTCAGGGATGGATGCTGGTCATGCAAATGAGCCAGTTTATATTTGATTCACCTATTTTCCTCCCGGAGTCAAGGAAAGGTTAAGTGCTACCACAGGTGTGATAACACATCTTTTCCAAACTGTCCCAGGTTTGCACAAGCATTCATCTTGCTTTGGGGGGGAAAAAGCAAAAAAATAAAAACAACAATAAAAAGATTGTGGAGCCCAGGGAGGGTTCATTAATTGGTTCATTGACTGTTTATCAGATTTCCTGGGACTTTTCTTGAAGTTCCCACTTGAAGACCAGGGGTGTAGCTACCCCAGGGTTTTGGAGACAGAATCAAGCTCTGAGCAGATTATCCCAATCTATTTTTCTAGAGGTAGAAGTACAATTGATGCAAATTCTAATCAATTTTTCTGGTAACGTGCAGTATATTTTTGATAATCAAAGAACTTATTTTTTTTTCCTCCCTGTCCTACAGAAGTCTATGAGGTACCTGAAGAAGAGGTAAGGCCTTTCGATAGTTTGACTTGCATTGCCCCCGGGCAAGGCACAAATGTGATTGTAAAAGATGATGATCCCCTTTTCAAAGGGGAAAAATAGAAACTCTGCACTTAGAACCTCCTGAAACTTCCTTCACAGAAAAGCTGGCAAACCAATTCAAAAGCTCTGCAGAACAGAGTAAATAGGAAGGGGCTGAAGTTTCCCAGTCCTGTGTGATAGTGATCTGATCTGGCCTCAATGTTGGCAGTACTGCTCCTGGGAAGGAGCAATGACAGTTCTGACACAGTAATTTTCTTCCCACTTGCTGGTACTGACATGACATGGCTAAAGCAGTGTGCTCAGGGCTTCACAGATTTACTGGTGGCGCTGCTCCCATCCTAGTGCAGATTACCAGGCAATGTTCTAGTAGAAATCTATATCACAATGCAGAAATAAGATATTGCTGTGATAACATAAATAGGATCTGCAAATCTATTTTATGAAATCAAAAAGTGACCAAATAATTCAGTGTATTCTCTCTTACAGGAAAAACCTTCACCACCACCGGTAACGAGGTAACCCATTGTTTTGAATGTTTGTGCATTATTTAAAACTTGTCAGAAAATGTATTTTCTCATCTAGATATTATATGTATGATAATGCTCTTTCTAGAAGATACATATATAGAAATTATCTTTTTAGATTATCTACACAAAGATTATCATCCATTTCTATGTTAATTTCAATAACCCAAACATAACACATATTACAAAGAAATATCTCTTAAGGGTATTTCTTAGAATTTTGAGGGAGTAGGGGAGGAAGAAAAAAGGCTGCCTTTGTATTCACTGTTAAATACAATTTTCCTTTCTTAATTCATGTTTTATTACTAGGCTTACTAAGCCAATTCTGTCTATGCCTGCTCAGAATACAGAGCACTCCCACACGCACAGCATGACCAGAGAGTCACCTAAACTGGATACTTCCAGGTAAGTCAACAGCAGCTTATATCAATAGGAAATATTAGCAGACAAAATTTTCTCTTCTCTATTGTGTAGCCTCCAGACAATAAACAGTTGTTAGGACACACAAATAGCTAGGCATGTTGGGACAAGGTAAGAATTGAAAGTTCTCATTTCCTTGTGAAACTGTATTCAAGCCAGTTCGCTAAATGGATATTATTTTCTTGAATATCCCTTTGAGGGATCCAGTGCAGGGGTAAAATGTCTCTTCAAGCCAGTTTAAAGTCCTGTTACCCATCTCTGCACCCTTGCAAATGAGATGTTTTTGCTGGGGGTGGGGCATAGGATTGCTTGTAAAGAAACTGGACACAGTAAATCCATGTCTCTGGGGGAAAAGAGGCAAAGGAAACTTGAGTGTGCAGCCTATTTCATTCCTGTGTCCCAAAAAGTGTAGAAGCTGCTGTCTCATCTTTAGGACATCACTCTGCAAAATAGGCCATATGCCCACAGAAGAGCAGACAGCATCCACAACACTGTTATGGTGTTTGGTGAGGTCCTGTGCTCAGTTGCCAGGGATTTGAGGCCAGGACAGAAGCTCTTCTAGAGTAGTTCCACACTAAAGACACAGCATCACCACAAACACTGCAGCGATGCATAGCTGCAATTAAATTCATTTACTGCAGATCTCCTCTTCTCTAAATCTTGAAATACATATCTGAGCCAAGCAATTAAATAAGTAAATCCTATTTATCTTAACTTATTGTGTATATTTTCCAGAAATATTATGCCTCTTCCCAGAAATCGTCCTCATCCAAAACCAGTGAGTAATTAATGTGCCACTATAAAAGAATATGTTAAACTTAGGCTGTTCTATGTTTTAGATATATATAAATATATAGATACTTTTTATTATCTGGATTAAAGAACAGAAATAGATAACTCTGAATGTCACATTGATCTAATATTGTAATTGTGGCTATTAATCTTTCGGATAAAAGTAGTACATTGGACATCTGTACTGATCCAAGAAAAATTTCAAATGTTTTAAGGGATATGTGTCTCAGCCCACAAAAACAATTTATTGTACTAAAAAATACCAGTTGAACTTGAGGAACCTTACTTTCAGTAGCGATAGGTGATTTTGCACAATCTGAAGCAGCTTCCTTGAGTCTCACTCCCCTCAGACGTTGAATGATTAATACATTCTGAAAATTGAATCCTTCTAAAATGTCAGACTGGGTAATCCGAGTGACCAGCATCACTAGAAAATGCAGTCCATGAAGGAGTAATTACAAGCTTTGTGTTCCTAAGGCTGTGTTTAAGTCATTCCTCCTCTTCCTCTACTCCTGTCCCCAGTCTGTCCCTTCCACTGTGCTGGAACAAAGGTTTTCTGAAGCAAACTACTTGGAAACTTGTCTAACTGCAGCAAATGTGCAAAAGCAAATGCATAAAAGGTTCCTTTTCAGCCACTTTAGTTCCATAAATTGTTTCATACCATAGCTCTACTAGCAGTTGTGCTAGCACAAGAGAGGGTGCACATGCAGAGCAAACTACCAAGAAACAGAGTGACAGTAACAGCATCAGCACCTGTGCCAAGAGCTATGTGCATCAAACTCTGCCCCAGCCAAATGCTCTGAATTGTCCTTAAGGAATAATGTCTACCAATAACTACACAGAGAAATTAAATGCATAGAATTGGGAATCTGGGATCATACCATAGCATTAGATGTTACAGTAACATACTGCAGGAGGTATAAGAACACGTTACAGTTTTACTTTCAATCTTTAAATTTCTAGATATAACAAGTATTTATGTTGGGGTTTTTGCACACTTCTACATACAACAGCAGCAACATTTAAGTTTCCCTTCCACCTCATCACAACATTCTTTTTAAATTTGTATTCTGTAAGATGCTGAACAATTCCTGAGTGGTACCAAGTGCAGGATTGCTCTCATGAAATGGTTTGATCTCTCAGCTTTTCTTACCAATATAATATTAGAATAAAAATTACCCAGTTGGGCACAAGAGTCAGCCTAGGAAAGAATTACCCCGTGTTGTCCAAATTTTGGGGTCTTTCCTTGTTTAAGTGGCCAGCCCTTAAAGTTTTAAAGAAAAACATGGTAATGAGCATGATGTTTTTTCAGTGCTGTGCTGTGTTTTTCCACCCCTGACTATGCACATTGACAAAGCAAAACAATAACTGAAACATCTGTGAAGTTCTCCCATTCAATCCATTCTCAACACTAACCAGCACTGATCATGTTAACAGAACTCTAACCCTTGTTCCTCTCAAAGGCCTGGGCTGACTGGGATTAAAATTTCTCCGTATCTCACTCCTTCAACTGTTGGATGATGGATTACACCTCTCCAACCAGAGAATGGATGCATTTGTGACCAACATTAGTGAAAAGTCAATAACCTGGTGGATGAAGATGGACAAATTAATAACTGGTGCCTCTTTGAAAGGTACTTATCATATGGGAGTCTGATTCCCTAAAAGACAAGAAGTGGGAGCAGAAAGAAAGCATCTCCAAAAGAAGCAGAGAAATTAGTTGGATTGCTTCAATTCTAGTATGGTGAAAAGACAGTCTACTGAGTATCCTCCGTTCAATGAAAGATGTGTTCTTAGTATACTCAAATGTGCTACAAAATTTCTGCTTTCCAGCTCAGAAATGAAACAGGAACCAAAATATCTCACTGCAAAATTCAGGGCCCATTTTCTCAATGCTACAAGCAATCTCAGGGTTATTAGAATGTTCAAAATTAGATTGATGTTTGCTAAAATTTTTCAAATGCTGTTGTAAAAGCTGATGAAAAGTATTCTGGATATTATTTGCATTCTGTACAAATATTTCTTTAAACATTACTACAGATTACCAAGACTAGATTATTTATGCACTACTTATTTGATAATAATTTCTTTTTAATTGCTTCTTACCAAATCTAATGTATTTTTCCATTACAGGACCACGAAGCAAACAGTAACAATGAAAGTAAGTATTCAATACTGAAAATGTGGCAATGAGAGGGATTTGTTGTCAGTGTGTTACTGGTGACCTTAATATAGCATGTAGTGGAGTGTGTCAGTATAAACTTTATCTGTAACAGTCAGCAATAAGAAAGGTTACTGAACTGTTTTCTAGTATAATCAGGCTGAAAATATGTTAAGACAAAAATTAAACCAATTAATATTTTTTACTTTTATTACATTTACACTGAAATGGCAGTGAGGAAACTCCACTGTTCAAATACAGCTAATATTACGTACTAAATATGTTGTTTGCATCTCTAGATCATAGCTTCAGTAACACACAAGAATCCAGATTTCCCACTGGAGCAGCCCCATCTCCATTACCAAGGGGCCTGTGAGTAAAAATAATAGAACTACTTCTTTGATGGGGATGGGGTTAATAAATGTATTAGGAGCCAACTCCTATCCTTGCCTATGGCAGTCAGAATTCAGGAGTAATTTTTATTGCTATTCATGAAAAATGTTCTGACTAAGTAAAAGCAAGCTTTTATTTTGGTTTATCTGGGGGAATACTGTCTGTATGCTAGTGGCATTGCCCTTCACTGCCTGCCACTGATGGCAGATGCTGGCTGGCTTGCTTAATTTAGTCACATACTGCAGCAATAGCACAGGCATGCCTGTAAATGCAGAAAGTTGTGTTTTTCATTAAAACTTTTCAGCCACTCCCAAGTGGTCATCTTAAGTAGTAGATAGAGAGTAGCTTCCTTGCATATCATAAGTACCTTTGAGTACCCACATTACATCTGATACCCTTTGCCCCATCCCCAACTGCTACAGCAATCCAATAAGGAGGTGCATCCCATCTTGGCCAGAAATATCTTAGGAATCAATGAATCTCATGCTTAGTTACTAAATGAATTCATGTGTCTGCTAAGTAACCATCATCTTTTTTCTTTTTCTTCCAACCTGCAGAAAGAAAATTTCTAATGCAGTAAATTTACCAGTAAGTTGACTTGTAATTGCATAATCAAACTATAATTTTGCAGTTGATTTTTAATTTATTGTAGAACTTTAATTTTATCATGAGTTTGGGTACAACATAAATGCATAAAAGGAATAGGGGACAAAGCTATAAAGAAAGGAAATATTTGGATGGTGTTATATGAACCAAGCAGCAGTGAGAAAGCTCAAGAAGAAAATTATTTTTATTAAAGGGATTTGTATTCAGTAGGATGTAACAATAAACACAGTCCAAGAACTGAATGAGAAATAAATGGGAACACAGGCCATTCAGAAGTAATCCCTGAAATATACAAGGCTGCATATAGGGAACATGAATTTTTTGTAAGAGTGATAGCTTGGGAAAGATACAGGATTTTACAAGAATTTATCAGAGGTTTTTCATTAGAAAAATATCTCAAAACCTCTTGGAGGAGAAAGTGAGAACTGGTTGAAATTTTCAAATAAATTAATTTGAAAAATGTTATGAATCTGACAGTTTTATTATCAGTTTCAAAATGGAAAAAAAAAAATCAAACTGGAAGGTTGGGTGAGTTTTTACTGTGAGCAGAACTGACAGTTTAACTTTCAGTAAAAAAGAAACATGTTCAGACATTTGTGAGCCTAGCTCGACAAAGACGAAAATACTCAAATTTTTGATTGGCAAGTATTTGGGATGGATTCTTCCCTTTTTGGACTCACAATAAGAATGAACTATTTGTTAAACTGTAAGCTTACTGATGCGAGTTTAAAAAAAAAAAAAAAAACAAAAAAACAAAAAAACAAAACACATCTCTAGACCTTACTTTTGGCCATCTATTTATACACACAAACTGGGATTCTTTCCAAATCTACTTTACAAACTCCCAAGCTACAAGGTCATACAACTAGAGGCTTTTCAGAAAATGGCTATGTCCATACCTCCTAATCCCTCCAGGATGCTGTCAATTCTAAATGTAAACTAGTTCCCAAAAAGTATAAAAAGATAAACATTTGCTGTACAAGTGACATGCTATTTAACATTGTGTTTCCTTCTGTTTTACTGCAGAAACCATGTTTACCTTCCAGAGAGACCTTAACTGCAAATGAAGGTAAATTATCTCCACTACTCTGAAAAAGTTGACATTTATCAGAATTTAATTTTCATTTTATTAAAAACATGAAACAAACACCACCACATTCAATTTATTCTCGGGTTTTGAAGGGAATTGGTTTTAGCAGTTTCAAACTGGATCTGGCCAGCCTTAGTTGCATTGAATATCATTGTTCTCTAAAAGCAGTCACAGTAAAACCGTTGAGGTTACTGGCAGGGTAACATACAACATAATGGACCAGCAATGTGCCACATAGTCCTCAAAGTGGAGAAGGGGGGAGAGAGGCAAAGCACAAGTGCATCATTCTGAACTCAGCCAGAACCACCTCACATGGAAGGTGACTCCTGGCAAGAGCCAGTCCCTCGCACAGGCAGAAAATGCGTCTCGCCTCTGTGCAGGGCGGCAGCTCCTCCAGGCAAAAACTCAGCAGGAGCTGCTGTCTAACACAAGGGTAGGGTGCAGGCAGCCAGCTGCACCTCCTCCGGCTGAGCTCTTGTAGGCAGCCTGCCCCAGCGTCCTCCCCTGTGTCACACAGCTTGCCTCGCAGAGAGCAAGTCTCCCACTGAGCTCCTGCAGGCATTCACAGCGCAGCTATTTGTCTAGAAATTTGGTGGTATGCCACTAGTTAATAAAGAAAGCAGCAGCTTGCCAAGCTGCCATGTAAGGAAAAAACCCAAAAAGTTATAATAATAAAAGAAACTGTCCTTCAACTACTGGGACTCTCTTATCTGGGACAATATATTTCTGAAGAAATCTTGACTCTACAATTTGTTTTCCCAAACTACAGAAAAGCCTACAGCAGCAGAACGACGACAAGGTTCCAGCCAAGAGCTTCCGCTTCCACCCCTTCCAAGTGGTGCCCAAAAGTAAAATCCCTTTTCATCATCTTTTCAATATTTCAATGCACCAGCTCCTACTGCTTGGTCTGAACACAGCTGTGGGAAGTTCAAAGAGGAGCACTGTTTCCTCTTGTAGCCTTCTATTGCTTTTTGAAAGTCATGTTTCTTGAAGCTTCACAGTAGCAAAAAATAAAATATGACAAATGCATTCAAATACTATAACCACCACCAAAAAACATGGGAGGATATAGTCTCTAATTAGGTGATGGATATTTAAACCAGATATTTAAATTGCTAATTGTCAGTACTAGTGGGATGTGATTTTTTTTTTTTTTTTTTTTTTTGAACTATCTATATCAAGCCCTTATTTCTCAATGGACAAGTGGGTGAGATGGAACACATTCTACCACTGCATGCTTCAAATACACAATTTTAATATTTTCAGAACTGAGTAGATCTCCTCAGACCTTTCTGTAATCTCTTGATATTTATTTCAGGCCTTTGCTCCAAAAGTCCTCAATTCTGCCAAGTAAGTCTAATTCAGATTTTGAAATAAAAATTTATTAACTTGTAATTTTGAATTAATCTTTGAATTAAGATTATTTCAAGATGCCATGCATGTTCATTAGTTTGGAATTAACATTTGTCTCTAATGCATACAAAGAAAAGATTCAGTATCCAGGGGCTTTGCTCACCAAGTAAAATTAAGGGAAGTATGTCAGGGTTGTTGTATAAATCAATGGAAATTGGGTGCTTCATTCCCATTTGTGACTACTGCAAATTTTTACCAAAGGCAGTTTGGGTCAGTTCCCATCATAATAAATATTTCGTCATTCTTCCTTGACACAGAGGAACCCTAAATATGGCATTTCTGGGCTGTTCTAAGCTTCTGTTGCCTAGAAGCCAGACAGATTACTATTGCATCCAGCAATTTATTCTTTCTCTACAGGAGAAAAAAAAAAAAAAAAAAGGTATTTTTATAATGGCAAACACTAAAGCTCTTCTATAAGTAATACTTTCAAAGAGGGACTTCATTGCAGTTCCCAGTTAAAAATAAATTAGACATTATGTATATGAACTCTCTTCACACAGAAGTGTAAATTAGATCAAACACTTTTCTGGTCTCTTGTTAACAGATATTTTTGTCTGACCTTCCTACAAGCCCTTTTCTGCACATATTTCAGTCTGAACATATCTTTCCCACTGTAAATGGATGATGAGAACTGCACATAGAAATCTGCATGTGGTTTAGCTTAAATTTATATGCTGTTATTAGGGCTTCTCTATTTCCTGGAAATGTTTGCTTGATACATGCTGCAACTGCATCTCCTATGGTGTGGAAGTACAATAATGGTTCATATTAATGCAATAGACTGATGCTTTTAAATTTGTCTGCTCCTGTTGTACAACTGATGTGCTTCAACTTGTAGCATAAATTCTTACTAATGCCTGAAGTGTAACTATTCTTTGAGGCCATCTGGTGCTAAATGATGTTCTGATTAGTGAACTTTCTTTAACATACTCTTATTCTGTGCCATGTCCAGTAACAAATTAATTACAGGTAAAATTGGTCATAATCACTAATGTCCCTTCAGCATAACCTGCCATCTCTTCCTTGTCACCAAGCACAAGCCTAGTCCTAACTTTCATTGTCTTCATGAAAAGTACTAATTTCCCATATGCCACAGTATCAAATGCTCTACTAAAGTCCAGACTAAGTACAGTACCATATTCCCTCTGTAGAACTCTGTTATTTTATGAAGGATGTATAACATTTTATCTACTTGGGTAAATTTCAGATTTTTCTCTTGCTAGTTGTACCTTTACCTCTGAATCTTAATGTTCTTTCTTTCAAAGCCTCTCCTAGGGCTTTGTGTCCTGTGAAGTCAGATAAAAAGGCCTGTAGTTGCTCAGGCCACTTTTTCCACTTTAAATATAGCAATTATGTTTGGTATTCTTTAATGGTATGGTACCACCCTGACCTGAAATTCATTTAAAATAATTGTTACCAGCCCTGTAATTTCATGTGCCAGTCTTCAAAATTTCCGGGATAAAGGTTATCTGGGCCCACCAGTTCAATTGTTCTAAGCTATTTGAGGTTTGCTTCCAGTTTGGTTTTGAAAATTTCCATTTCTGTACCAGAACTACTATTGGTTTACTACCTAGATTATCTTTAAAATCAAGAAAATTCTTACTGCAGACAGCCTCATTTCTCTTTCCTTTTTGCACAGCTAGGGAATCTCTTACTACTTATTTTAATTTCCTTTTATACAGTCTAATGCAGCCTGACTTCTGGCAATTCCTACTTTATTCATACAATGTACTTCTCAGCTGTAGCTTTTGCAGCTGCTCAGTCAAAATTTGACAGAAAACCTAAAGCTCTTAATATTGAATGACCTTCAGGTGATTATTAATTCACTGAGAGCTATAACTGCTCCTTACAATGGCTCCCCTGTACTTGGAATGCAGCTTCCAGACAGCTGCACCTTTACTACAAAAGAAGTTATAAACCTGCATCCTCGAGTTCTCCAGTCCAATTGAATGTTTTCTGAGTCACTGTATGTCCTTCTCTAATATTCTTACTGCTTTCTGAAACCAAAATCTAAATAAGAATTATGTTAGTGAAGATTTTATAAAGCTGTCTGCAACGTATCATGTCCAGGAATAGGTGAGCGCTAACAATCCTAGTAGCATTTTTTTCCCCAACAAGTAAAACAAACAGCAAACAAAACCTCCCATAATAACAGAATAAGTAACATTCAACTTTATACAATCATCTTCTCTAGTATAATGATATTGATCTGTACCCAACTCTGATCACAAGTACCAATAGCAGACACCTGTACTATCTATAATCAAGATTCTGTTTTACCAGAAAACTATTATCTATACTTATTTCTGTCATGTCATTACTATGGAACACTAGTCAGCCATTTCCTTTCTAATTTCTTAAACACTTCAACATTTGTATTTCAGCCCTAATAGCTATTTTCTACTATGCTTTGTTATAACAATTAAGCTTCATAATCCTTCCTACTAGCTCTGCTTTTCTATTTAGCTGCCTAGACTTCTTGCACACATATACAAACACTTCAGCTAGACTAAACTAGTGAAAAATGATCTCTGAGCTACATTTGTTTTCCTGACTGCCTCCCCTATATGACGACCACTCACACTGGACTGAGTGCTTTTTGCATAGTGTTCCTGCATTTTCTTTATCTACTGCTACACTGATTCACTTAGGTGGTGGTTTTTTTTTTTTTTTCCCTTGCATTTTAAGCCTAGCTCTGGCTTTTAACCAAGTTGTAACCAACCTGTTATTAACGGACTGTTTCTCTCTCTATAAGCAAGGCTCCTTTTTTTGAGCAGACAAGTGTCCCAGGCACTTACATAAGGCCTATTCATTTACAGTAGATAGCTTTCCTGAGTGATACCAGAGGTTTCCAGATCTTCCAATGTCCTTATAACAAATCAATTTCTTATAGTATAACAAACATACTTCGAAAACTTATACATGTTGTTCTTTCTCTTTTTCAGAAATGCCAGAAGCTGCAAAACGTTCTCTGGGTACTTCCCCTCACAGCAGCATTTCATCTTATTCAAGTATTGCAGACCAGGTATAACATCAGCTAAATGCACATTACGTAAATCTTCTTATCCTTCACTTTGAAGCAGTATTTCTGCCCCTACCTGCTTTCTAAACAAAAATACCCCTTTTGTGGAGGGCATCCATGTCCCCCTTTGCAGTGAAGACTTTCTGTAGCACACATAATCTGAATGTTAGCTTTCCTATGAAAAAAATGCTTAGAACACGTAGCATAAGAGAGCTGCAACAAACTGTAGAAAAATATGTAGTAGTCACTTTAAACAAAACATGAAAAAGCTTCTTATTTTCAGGTCTTCCTGACTCCCCAGTTCATAATACTTCAACATCATTTGAAACAAGAAAATATGTGGTGATGTACTTTAGTCTTTGATACAGATGGCTATAACGAGTTTTTAATTGTCTACTTTTTCTAACTTACAGCTGTACATACTGTGTCCTGAAAAAAAAATAATATGCACTAAGCAGCTACAACAAAGCCATCTGCGGCTATTAGCATTAGCCTGCACTGATGTGATGTGCTAAGAAAATCCCAGAAATTTATAGGAGGAAACAGGGATGCTCTGCTGACTGGTCCAGCACAGCAGTATGCAGAGGGTAGAATCACTTACAAACATTGCCTTATATTTTGTGGCCTGGGGTGTCAGCAAAGTTTTAAGAACTGACAAAGTCACTGCTGCCCCACTTGGAGGACACTGGGATGCCTCCCTCTCCGTGCTTTAGTGTCTCCAGAGTCCTACTGCTTTCTGTTCCTCTAAACAGACCTCTTCTCAATACAGTTAATGCTGTCAGTTTTACAACCAATTCTTTTTTTCTGTGTTTTGCTGCAACATTAAGTTTTGAATAATCTAAGCAAATGCAAAGTTTTTTTAATTTCAGTGCTATTCCCTTCTCATTTTGGATGAAGGGAAACTACAAGATGCAGGAAGAAATTCTTATTAGCCTAGTAGTCACAAACAAGGTAAAAATAGTTCTGTTGAGTGCAAAACAAAGGCTCTATGATGCAGAGCCAATAACATTAAATGTTCTAAAGCCTGACATGACAAAGATAATACAACAGTGAAGAACACAAAGGACTTGAAGTTCTGGAACAATTTTAACAGTATGTCATACTGGATATTTATTATAAAAGTTGCTTTCAAATAAACAGTCCAGCAGACACTAAATAAACACCTTGTAGCAATTATATTTGCAGCTTTTATGTAACAGCCATGGGCAAAACCAGAGCTTAATAAAACATCCTTTTTTTTTTTCCCCTAAAAAAAAAGGAAAATATATTAATTAATACTCCCTTAAAAAAAAAATGCTATATTAACTATTAGTGTTATTTTCCCACCCATTACATTCAGTGGTATCATTTGCTGTAGCATCTTGCATAACACAGGTGCTCACAGACATGACTCATGCCCATAAGGTTCATTATTTGTTTGGTTCCCATCCAAACTTTGGCAGCAGCTCTCTGCTTCCAGATCACTGGCCACAGATAGTGCTAGAAGAAAGGTCTGAGGGCAGTTGATTCCTTGTTCTGTCGAATCAAGTTTAGTTTACTGGACCCATTTTCTAAGAGGCTAAGTACCTTGCATACTTGCAATTCCTCTCATCCAATGATTAGTGTGACTGGAGAAATAAATGGAAGAACTTTAGAGGTAAACTTGTATGTTGATTATAGCTTGAGCCAATCTAAGAATTTAGTGCAATGCCCCAGAATGGAAGCTCTGCTCTCTCCTTACTGTCAACTCCCCTCCCAGCCACAGGCTTCTCTGGTGTTCCTCTGATCCTGCAGTGGGCTGACACAACTTAAACTGACAGAAAACCAACCTGGCAGTCAAACACAAAACAAGACAAAACAAAAAAGGTAACAGGTTTTTTTCTGTGAGATTACTAAAGTGAATTATCTCACCATGGAATCAGATGAGCAACAAAATGAGCACAAGGGAGAAGCCAAGACATTCCATTTTTGGAAGTGATATGCCAGCTAGACCAGCTCAGTCATAGGGTGCAACTTCATCTTTCATCAGTTTTCCACAGATGTGACAAAGCTTGTATGAAAATTAATTTTATCATTAAGCTTGTTGCTATAAAGTTGGAGCAAAACTGTTCAAACAACCAGGAAGGTTAATACCCAGATGTATTCATTAAGAAATATTCTCAGTGCTATTTCTATAGCCTCTCCACTCAAGTTAGCTTTTGCATCAACCTCTGCAGCAAAAGCTCACTTCTTGATTGCTGGTTTTATAACTTGCTAATATCTGCTCTAATACCTGCTCTAACCTTCTATAGAAGTCTGATAATGCATAGGTCTCACATTGCTTCTAATCCCTCATCCTGTCCTTCCCTTGAGTATCACTTTTCATACTTCTCTAAAATCCCCCATACCTTTCCGCTAAAGTCCACTCCTATTCCCAGATATACACTCACTCCTGAATCAGTTTTCTACCAAAAATACTCTCACTCTAATTATAATTTTGTACCATGCATTCCCAACTGCCATTACCTCCTCACATATTTTTATTTTTGCACTTACTTTGCTATGAGAGCTTTTATTCTCCAAACCAGAATCCACCTATCTTTAGGGTGCCAATCTTTCTACCTTGTATCTTCAGGCATGTACCTCTGCCCCCTGTCCATGAAGTCCTTTGCCCCATGTTTTCCACTGGAAGAACAGGTTAAGCTCATTTACTGTACAGAATGCTGAGCAGCATTTAAATTGTTAATGGTCAATTTATTCCTCAACATTTCCTGGAAACCCTCTTTAAATTCTATTAGAATAGTTGCCTGCTTTAAAAATACCAAACTACCCTCCAGTTGAACCTGACTACTTTTCTTTCTCTCTTCTGTCATGTATCAGACTTCTATCACACATCTGTTACCACTGTTTTGAGACACTAGTTTTTCTTTGTCCTACTTCTATCAAAAAAAAAACAGCGAGTTCCTGGCAAAGAATTTTCTAAATTCTGTGTTTTGTAAAGTGTCCTGCATTTGAGTTCTTCACAGCTACCATTATTTAGCAGTAACTCCCCTACAGGCCATATTCTTTATTATTTTCATTATTTTACATGTAAAACACTGTTTCTCTCTTTCTAGGATGCTGGTGTTCATAGTAAAGCATGGTATGCTGCTACCTGTGATAGGAAAACGGCAGAAGATGCATTGTACCGAACAAACAAGGTAGGTCACTTTTAATGTCTATTTTATGAAAAAACTTCAAATTAAAAAAAAAAATCAAAACTCAACCAGAAATATTATAAGAACATCAACTGTATTCTGAACAGGTCCAATCACTGTGCCATGCAAATACTGTCAAACATGAAATTTACCACGTGAAATGTAGTGAAACTATCCAACTATGGTTTCCATTCCAAGACAAAGTTGCATTGGTATAATTCAGACTGGTGCATTGCAGAGAAAGGTATTACAGGCTAGAGAGCTGAGGAAGATAGCTGATAGCTCATTTGTGGGGCTTTGCTCTCCATTTTACTTTTAGGTGATCTGCACCACTGTCCAATGGCGTCTGTAAAAACATCTACTATTTGAAAAGGCTGATGCTGCTACGCATTTTGAAATAGCAACAATATGCATCTAGATATTTGGAGTTTTTAGAGTTCTCTCAACTATTCTGTGTACAAAAGCTAGTGTCGCAGAAGGAAATAATAATGTGTAGAGTTGCATCCTCAGCATCAGGTACATTTCTACCCTTGCCTAACTCCACAAAGCAGGATAAAGGGGCCGGGCACTGGGGTTACCACCAGTGTAGGCCACTGCTAGTGAGCACTGGGGTACACTGTCAGTTGCTGTAGGTGCTTGTCTTAATCAGTGCTTTTCACAGCTCTGGAGAAAGTTTCTTTACCTCACTGCTTTCCTGCCTACCTACTGCCACTGATAGTAACTTCATTTGCTAATAATCTGTGGACCTCAGCAGACTGCTGCCACTGTGTGTTTATTTCTTCTTTGGTTGAGAGAGAACAAGTAGCAGCAAAGGTGAGTCGCAAATGATGCCTTTGTAAGTTGGTGTTGACAGCAGGATGACATGCTACTTCTCATCTCCTGCTGTAATTTTTATAATGGGAGAAAAGGGTTTAATAATAATATGGATGAAAATATTAGGTTAAAACAAACTAAGTTGTTGGAAAAAATAAGATGAATACACTTAATACTTTTCTCTCTTTAGGATGGATCTTTTCTAGTAAGAAAGAGTTCTGGACAGGATTCACGGCAACCATACACACTGGTTGTGTTTTACAACAGAAGAGTATACAACATTCCTATACGATTTATTGAATCAACAAGACAATATGCACTGGGCAGAGAAAAAAGTGGTGAAGAGGTGAGATGATAAGGGGGGAGAACGGTTCCTAACAGTTTTCAATTATATACCTTTAATAAGCAAGGCTTCAGATACTGCATTATAACCAAAAGTATTCTTCATGTATCAAGATGAAAGTATACCCTATATAATGACTGATCTATAAAGCTAATCACTGTAACATCATCTCCTGCATACTGTAATTAAAACCACAGATCAAGTTTAAAACATACTCATAGAACTGTTTTGAAAAGTTACCAGGATCAAAGCTGCAGCTGCTAGATAAATTCTCCAGCTGTTTATAGTCCTCTATTCACCTTCTACCTAAGACTCATACGTTTCTTGGAAAATCACAAAGGAAGAACAACCATGCTCAGGAAAAAAAAAAAAAAAAAAACACAAACCTCTATCAAAAATGAAAATGACAGTACTTTTAATCCTATTTTCACATGAAGAAAATGTTAAATTCTAGTTCTAGAGTGCAAAAATTACTGGTTGGCTGTTATACCACACAGATAATTACTCTGACAGCAAAACAGAAACTTGGAAGCCAAATACCAATAAAAATTGTTATGACTGCACAGAGTAGGCTTTTCAGGGATGTGAAAGTGGGCTTGCCTTAGCCTAATTATCTGCCTCCCAGACAAGGGTTTTGAGATTACAGAATAAATAATAGGCTGGATCTCATCTGGCCTTCAACAAAGGGTCAAAAATGGCCTCAGGAGAAAAAGATAGTCCAAATCTTTTTTCCAAAATACATACAGATAGTCCAAAATCTGTATTGACCAAAGACCAAAAGGAAAAGCAACAGATCTAGCGGATTCTGGATGTTAATTTACAGTGGCAAACATTCAAATGGCATAACCAAAACAGTTCTCATTGATGGCTGACTGTACCCTGTTATTCCTGGAGATTGCCTTCTCTCTAAGGTGGCTGAACCACAGATGAAGCAGTTTCCAAACTGCCACAGACTCCAGCCTGGTATACATCACGGTGACCTGAAAGCAGTGTCAGTCTAATAAGCTAGGTAACAATCTCTGTGGTTCAGTTTGTGCAGGTGGTAATCACAAATGGAAAGGAGCATGAGATGAGACAGCTAGTGGCCATAGTATCTTCCATTGTCCAAATTTAATCTGTTTATGACTAGCATTGGGACTAAGAGAAGGATACTAAAAGGCAGAGCATCTCACTTGGTAACAGTCATAGCTCCACTCTCATTGATAGTGGAAGAAGCAAAGAGAAAAATATGATGCAATGATTACTGTCAATATTACAGCATTAAAGGAAGCCAGCACTAATTAATTTTTGTTTTCTCTATCCAGCGCTTTGACAGTGTTGCTGAAATAGTAGAGAACCATCAGCGCAGCTCCCTGGTTCTAATTGACAGCCAGAACAACACAAAAGACTCGACAAAACTGAAACACATCGTACGAGTTTCTCAATCAAACTGAACTGCTAAAATGAAGACTTTTTAAGTAATTTCTTTCAACATCCCAAAACATGTGGATCGGGTATTAAAAGAAGAAAATCTGAAATGATGGAGAATACTCTTTAAGAGCACTGAATAGTAAGAGGTGGAGTTCATAAAGTTCAACCCCACATCACTTTTATCAGAAAGGACTCGTATTTAACACAAGAAGCCAAAGCAGATACACTCTTGTCTGTGTTTTCCATCTGTGACAACACGGGTGTTCAAAGTCACGTGAAGAACAACTGCATGCCACAGCCTGGTCCTTTGACTGCTATTTAAAGAGAGATTTCCTGTAGGACATTTTCACTTTAAAACTGAGAATACCCACAGTGATCTACTCTTTTCATTCATGTTTACCACTGATCACTGCTTTCAGCAATTTCTTTGTAAAGTGCACAGCTCCAGATGTTAGAGCAGCTCAACCTAATGTACTGCTGTGTACAAGCTGAAAATAGGACTCTACTTCCTGTGATTAGTGGCAAAAAAGCTATCTGAATGTTTTCGATTAATGGACATGTGTTGTCCTTTTCCTCAACTTTACTCTGCTTCATTAATGTTTTTGTCTGTATTTTCTAATGTGCAAATAAAATTAAAAACATTGTAAGGTCAGTAGTGTATGGATGCATTGCTGGATCACATTTCTTAGCATCCTTCCAGCAAGGAAGCATAAATTCACTATGGTTGATGTTTTAATGTATATATTTGTATGTGCTCCTTCACAAGTTCTGTTGTTAGGAAAACTCACTTTTTACAGCCTTAGCTTATGTATTTGGCTTAATTCTCAAATGTTTTGTCTTCAGATTGCCTACTGTTGATGACCCAAGTAGATTGCTTTATTGCTAAACCAACTACCCACTCAATTCTTGCAGAATTACTAATTACAGACACACACACAAAAAAACCCTTTCTATTTTCAAGCCTGTTCTATCACAGTGGTTTACGTATTCTATTACTGCCAACAAGGTAATTTCCACAAAGTTTAAAGTGGTGAAAATTAAACTGATATATGTAGAAATTTCACCAATTAAAAACTTTCAGGAACAGCTGTTAATTAGTTCTAGAGGTGTTTGATTTCACTGGACCTGAAAACTCATCCATCTTAAAAGTTATTTTCCAAAACTGACACTCTATGCATACCTGCTTTGTTCTTTTTGTTACAGATCAGGCATTGTTCTCTAGGATTATCCACAAAGCATTTAAGGCAAAATCAAGACAAGACTTGTGAAGTCTCAGCAAGTCACTTAGAGCTATGTTGTAGCTGTATTCTACAACTGCTTCCTTGTGGTTTTCATCAATCACTTTTACAAGCAATGCACCTGTCTTCTGGAAAGACCTGCTTCCTTATATGATTAAGATGTTCAGCACATGGCTACCTACTTTGCTGCATCTCAGTTTCTTTCCTCTGCAACGGTGGTATACTTACCCCAGATGTGAAGCAAATAAGATACTGGCAAGTAAGAAACAATGTATACAGACTTTACACAGGCCTGCCTATGACAGACTGTTCACAGTACTACATAAATTCTGTATTTAGTATACTGTTTAGTTGCATTAATTAGTATTACAGTAAGTGTAATATAAGTATACTGTTTAGAACAGTAAGGTAGCCAAGTCAAGGCCTTAAAAGTAACAAGTTCTTAGTCTCTGCAAGCTTAATTTACTCCTATATCTGTACTCTGATGTTATCTAGTTACCTGAAACATCACTTTAGAAGGCTACTATTTCAAGCAATATTCACAATGGAAAATACTCTGTGAAAAAACAGCCACTCAATATTTAGCTTTCTTTGCATTCATGTAGAGTCCTTGCCTTATTCATTCATGTACTGCACACTGTTTAAACTTTGTTGTTAACAAAACTGTCTGTTCCTTGTCAACCTTTATATGTTGCCCCCTCACAAAAGTATCTAAGTTCTTCGAACACTACTTTCTGAATTACATGTGTAGTATCACCACCACTCTAGAACTGAAGTAGGGGGAAAAGGCATGAAAAAGTGAAACTCAAGCGTACTTATAGACTTCCATCTGAGAGACAAAGTATCAGTTTTTCGGATAATTTGCAATACTGAGCCCTTTCCATACTCAGCACTGCTGCTCCTGCCCCTCACCTCTAAACCCTCAGCGCTACATGTAACTTTGTGGCTGAGCTACAGATTAACAAATATGCTCTAGATAAACATTCAACTACTTTCAACCTCAATCCCTTTTCTTTTTAGCCATGTTCTACAGCGTTAGCTTACAGTTTTGATAACAAAATAAGGCAGGGATTTAATAGGCAACACCACCTTCCACAAAACAATACATACATCCTGAGAGTATGCTAATTTTGCATTTTGCAAGGATATAAAATAAATTAGCACTCAGGATGGAGCATACTATGTTAAAAAGCCTGATGCTACTGATTCAGCAGCCAACACAGAATCTACGAAATGGTAACTTGGTGCAATCCTGTACCTGAAACTTTCTTACAACTGTTGCAGTGCAGGCAGCTGCCACTAGTTAATGCTAACAGGTGTTTCCACCAGGTATGGTACATCTGCCCTCTGACAGACATAGCAGCACACCCTTGCTCCCCATATTTCTTTGATTTTTGTATCCAATTTCTCTTCCATATATTTGTCATTAACTGAATAGCGGGGGGGGGGGGGGGGGCGCGAGACCTAGAACTAGAACTAAAAACTGAATTTTTTTGTCTGAGAATTCAGGACAAAGTATCATATTTACTAATATACAAAGGAGCAGAAGTGTTGTCTGCCTATCTGACACAGAAAGGAGAGTACAATGAGTACTGCACATCATTCCTGACAATGTTGTTCTGTGAAAGGAGTAAGAACTTGTATTCTCAAAAATCCAAAGTATTCAGACATGCAAGTTACAAAACTACATTCCTCCTTCAATATAAACCACCAACAGCAGGCAGAGATTCTTAGGAAGTGTTGCAAAAAATAAAGTCTCACGACAACAGCACTGGAACAAATAATGAACACAAGTTTTTTGTTAAAACATTGGAATTACTGAGGAAGAGAAACTGACTTACTGATGAACACACAGCTTGCAAAGAACATACAATGGACTAGATTTTAAGCCTTTTTAAGGCCACTTTACACAAACACGCGAACACTGTAGAAACACTTGTTGACACTGCACTTGCACTTATTTCTGTATGTCCCAAAACACTATAACCAAGTTAAGGTTTTCTCATCTTGATGTATGTGCCATGTTATAAGCTATCTAAAAATGTTACTGTTGCAAAGTCAAACACTCAAAATCAAGACACTCTTCAAATCGGGTTACCTGTGCAACCTTACATTTTCAAATCAGATACATCCATTACAGTACAAGCACTAAATATATGATCATTGACCAATTTTCCATATAGATTTATATATTTCACTTTGTTCACGTCATATTTCAGGGATAAATTGTAGCTGTGTAATGAAAGACTGTGGTTTGTAGAATAAGATACCCTTCCCCTTTACTGAAGATGCTGAGAGATGCACAAACATTGCAGGAGTCAGCCGGTAAAAATGTAGCTTTATATTGTTAAAGCCACTGAACATTTCATTGAGCAGTATATTGTCCCTGCACCTTCTACTGCACCATCCACTGCAATGCTGGTCAGATTGCTTCAGCCAAACTTTCTCCTGATGATCACTAATTTTGATTTTAATTTCACTGAGAAATTTCACTTGAGATTCTTTGAAATCTGATCCGCCTAAGTGCCAAACTCTTAAGACTTCAAACACAGCATTATGGAAGTTTGTAAGAAAAAAAAAAAAGAATTGTATATTCAGAATTGTACTTGAGCAATGTGTGCTAAATAATACAAGGACATAATTGAGGGTGGGGAAACAAAAAATTAAATCACTGCTCAAGAGGGAGCAACAGTTCTCTGCACTGAATGAGATGGATGTCCATGGATAAAGTGACAAATGACAATGAATTAAGATTGTATAAAGCAACCTTATTTCAACATTTCCTAGCTTTACAATGTTCTTCATCACAGTATTGTTTAAGGTTACCCAATTCAATAGGAAAACAAACTGGAGGGAAAAAAAATTCCAGTGATGACAGTTGTCACTCTCATAATTCATCAATACAGAGAAAACCCTCTGACTCTACAGGAGAACTTCCACCTCAGCACCAAGTAGGTTTTAGCAACAAACCTCTCAGCTATTTCTGCCAAAATAGGCAACGGCAGTGTCCAGAATTCAGGGTTCAACTTCGGGGTTTCTAGGAGAGCAAGCTGAGGCAGCCAATAGAACCTTCTCATCAAAAAAGCTTAACATATTTTTGTCCTTTTCTAATGCTGTTTGTTTCCCACATGCTTCCTCACCACTAGTGTTCTTCAAAGTTCCTAGACAAAATAATGTCAGACCTCAAGCCCATTGTGCAGCACAAAATGATCTGATACAGAACACACACCAACAGTAAATTAATTCACCCAAACTATGCTGCCATGACTGTCTCAGGTACTTCAGTTGACACCCATACATAACTCACCAGCTACAACGCTAGTGTGCATCTTCCTTCCAACAGACACATCAAGAAAGAAAAACATACCTTAGCTACTGAGGGTTTTTTTTTTTTTTAAATTATTTTCATTATAACACTTTTCAAAACATAAGCTGAATTCTGTTACTGGTGACATCCCTGTGACATCCGTGAAAAACTTCCAATTGTTTCATTGTTAGCAAGTCAATTGTCACTTTCACCTTATGGAAACAGTCACAGAGAACTACCCCTGGGCTTGCATACAATCTAAAACCTCAGCGACCTAAATGTCCCAGTCCTCTACAAGTCCTATATTCAATTTTGACAGGTTTTCCATCAATACTCTGGGAAGTTGACTTACACACCTAAGGTGTAATCTTCTACTATTTGGTCAAAGGGTACCATATGGTAAGGGCACTCCCACTAAGGACTAGATCTAGCCTCCGGGTTCATTAAGAATCTGGAGGACAAAGTCTCTAAACATACTTATTGTGGATAATACGGACCTTCATTTGTACACTCTCAGTCACTGTGGATAAGAGAAGGTCTTTTGTTTACATACCCTCACATAAACATTAAGAAATGTGAAGCATATTCTCCCTTCATCATTATCCCTAACTGTAAGCAGAAAGCAACTAGGTTCCAACGAGTATTACCCTACTGGCCAATAAAATGAGGGAAGAATAAATCAAGCCTTTGTTTTGCCAAACCCCTGGTACCCTAAAAGGCAGTTCATCTGAATAGGTAATAGTAGAAAATATTACTTAGTCATTATAGGGACAAATTACATCCACCTGGTATAAAACTATAATGCAGTTACAGGCCTGAAATGGTACTTTCCACTTCACCATATTCTGGCCTTCCTATAGGGTCTGTGGCAGACAGTATAAAACAAAAAAAGAAATATTTTCTATAAATGCTCACAGTCATATTCTGTAAACACAAGTTATAGCAAATTTAATAGTGACAGAGTCAATACAGATTAGGAATGTTCACCATTCTTAAACACCATATACATTATGATATATATACTGCATATTCTCAACTGATTCCATTCTCAGGCTCATCATATTAACACAATCATAACATGTTTTATTAATTTATATGAAAAATACTTCACTAAGAAAGTAGACAAACTGCACAGAAATAGTACAAGTGTCATGTGCATAGCAATATAGCTTAAAGCATTCACATATGGCTTTGTTTAAATGAAACTATTGGGGAAATGGCCCTATATGGACCTATGGTTACACAGCTGACATAATGTAAACTGCTTCACATCTTTTAGGCACTTGCTAACAATAGTGTTCAATCCCTGAAAAACAAAATCAAGAGCTAACAAGTGAAAATAACAAAATCCCTGGATCCCAGGATAACTGCTGTCTGTAGTTGAAAAATTTAAAAAATTGCTTTTAGTAGTGCATGCACAGAACTGAAAAATAGAGGGGGTGTTAATTTCTGTGCAAGAATAATACCAAACAATTGAAAAGTATAAAAATATTTACATGTTTAGGTTTTTTTAAAATATGTACAGAACAAAAGCCCTGAAGACTCATTC